AGCTTGCAGGCTGCAAACACTTTTCTCCTGTAGGGATCAAAGAGAATACACCATTTATTTGTTTGAGGGAGGAGAGGGGAGTGCAGGAGAGAAGGGAAGGAATTAAAGTGAACAGGAGTCAAGTTTTGTCCATCTCTACCTCAGACAGCTATGAAAATATCCCCTTCAAGTTAATAAAACAAACCAGATTTTTGCATTGGTAAACAGACTAAAGACCTTCATTCTCCAATTAGTTTTCCAAACTTGTGTTGTCTGCATTACATGTCATGACTACAACAACAGAACAATCTTACTTTTCCAATACCTTTTGCATCATAAAACCTTCAGGTGGCTAGTGTACCTGCAATACTATCAAATACTGGTGAGGTTTGATAGTTGTCATCTACAGAAGGACATCATCCCTCAGTTAACATGTTGATTAACACAAGAAAAAAAAAAGTATTGAAGATGAAACTACCGGCCACACAGTTCATTTAACTTCATCAATACACAGCATAATTCCAATGTTAGGCTTATGAGGTAGACCTGTATATTCAATACTATAAGCTCACAAACATACTCATTGAGCTGTAGTCTTTCATCTTCTCTAGCAACTCATCTTGGCTGATGCCTTGTGCTGGCAGTGCTTTGATATAACCCTTTTCATCTTTCAGGAAGGGCAAACTAGAGGTTACATCATCCAAAGCCTTGTTTATCTGCTTCTGTATCTAAAGGGAAAATAAAATGTCAGTGAGATGCATGCCTTTTATATCATGCACAAGGTTCACTACTAGTGCCTGGCACAAGAAGTTCATTATTAACAGTATTATTAACTCCTTAAACAAATATGGTCAAGCACTAGGTATTTTAATTCTCTTAATACCTACTTAGCAATTTGAAAATAAAATTGTGTTTACCAAATGTAACAAGGTTCCCTCTACCCTTTTCATTAAAATCAAGTCCATGAGGATATAACAGTTTTTAATCTGTGCCAGTTAAAAATAAAGATACATTACATTTTGAACTAGTCTCTTTACACATTAGATACACAGGTAGTCCTCAGACTTATGACAAGACACAGTTTTCAGGAACCAATTGTAAGTCAAAACATTGCAACTCAGAACCAATTTTCCCCATAGGAAACAATGTTATAAATGGGAGATTGGCTCCTGAACCAAGGCCCCATATCCTATTTTCACCAAAAATAACCCAGAATTTTGTACTCAACCGATTATAGATGAGTAATATAGCTACATTAATGTATTTATATTATAAATAGCAATCATATTGGATTTGAAAAGACTTCTTTGAAGTGACTTTGCTGGACTTGTTGAAGGGTTCTTGGCTGGAGTTCTCTCAGGAGTTTTGTCTGCTTTCTTAAAGAAAGTGTCCAAATAAGTTTGGACAGATGTTCTCCAGGGAGATGCAGCGAACTTGTTTGCTGGTGTGACGTGGCGTTAAAGTTGAAACTGACATCAGAAAGTTGAAACAGGGTGTCAATTTATAAATACTGTAAGTGCAAAACGTTGTAACTCGAAAAGTTGAGGACTGCCTGTACGTTTAGGGTGCGTATACATGAGCAGCGAGGCTGCTCCAACACACTGTAATTACAGCACACCAGAGCAGACTCAATTAATCAAGTCTATTGGAGTGTGGCAATTACCGCGCTCCAGTAGACTCCAGCATCGCCGCACTGAAAAATGGCAGTGGGGGGTGCTTAACTAAAGCTCATTTGATGAGCTTTAGTTAGTGCCCCCACCACCACCACCATTTTTCAGCATTGCGACACTGATACATGAGACGCTCCAAGCGCTTTAATTAGGGCTCTTGAAGCCACTCTAATTAAAGGGCTCCCCCTCAATCCCCCCAACACACACTCCCAGAACACATGTATAAACACCCTTAAAAGACTAGAAAATATCAGTTACAAAACAATACAATTTATTTAAAAGAAAATTTCCAGTACAGATAAACTTAAGGCTTTTTTTTTTTTGTACTTGGCCTGAGCCTACAGTTTTAAGGCCCAGATTTTCCCTCTTAAAGGCATTATCTCATAGCAGTACAAATTTCTCCACCAGGATCCTTATCGAATACAACTGTTGGGAGCTTAAAACTACTTGAGACTTTTGGACATTGAAATGCTTGGAAGTCAAGGCCTCATGTAATCAACATGATAGGCTTATCAAGTAACAGATTACTGATCAGTGGAATCTACAGACAAGAAATACTAAGCCATTTTTTGTAACGGACCAACATCTCAATAGCCCTACCCTGAAAATATGGGCCATGTAAGTTTAGCAGGTTGTGACAGGGAGTCTAGAGTTATTCTACACATCTTCTACCAATGAATAAACAAAGCTTTTATTGTGGAATATATGAAGAGAGTCATCAATTCATCTCCCACAGATCACTAATTACTGAAGCCTGATGAAATTGTCAGTCAGGGCACCAGTCTAGCCAAACAGGATCACATTAGCTCTTTAAAGGGGAGGTACTAATAGTTTATAACAGCTGGGTAACAGCCCTTAAAGCTAGTTCTTTTTCTTCTTAAATCAAGATTTTTTTTTTTTTTTTTTTAGATCTTGCTTCCAGTCGTGGCAAACAAGATCAAAAAAAAGAAAGTGTTTTCTTTCATGCTAACTCATTCAGCTGTTACATCAGAAGACCTGGCTTCTGATTCTCAACACATTTTATGTTGCCCATTTATTGAGATTTAGGTCTTCAGGGCATGAGCTGTATCAAAGTGTACTACTGTCATTAACCAAGACACTAAAAAGAAGTTATAATTTTCTTGATCCAAATGAAATTACAAGAAGTGCAAAAAGAACAGCTAACACTTGTAAAATAGTTTTTAACTTTTAGGAGAAACAAATATAATTGTATTTCTTGTTTTAATGATTATACAGCTTTGGCTGTCTTAATACTGGAATGCAAGTCATTCTTAAAAGTTCTAAAACAAATCAACCTGAAGAACAATGAGAAAAATAAGCATCTTGCCCTGCACAACCAATGCCCACTTACCTTTTCTTTGCATACCAATGATCAGGTATGGACAACAAACCCAAAATGTTAAAATTACCTCAGAGCAACAACCTGGAACCAACTCTAAGCAGAAGTCAGATAACATCTAGAACAAAGTTGGGGCAAACTCAGCCACCTGCAATTGCTCAGAGTCAATAATGGAAAATGGCATCTCCCTTTTCTGAAAGTAACAACTACAGAAAGTTTAGATCAGATTATAAGCTTTTGGGGTACAGACTCTGACTGAATATTATGAGAAGTTGTTGGGATACTTACTATGCCTCCAACAATTGGCACGTTCCTTATGAATTTAAAGAACTGCTTTTTACTTCTTGATGTTAAACCTGAAAGAAAACAAACAGTTAAACTAATTTGAGTTAAGAAGTTAAAGAAAACTGGGGTATAATATTTTGGAAGTACGTGAGGAACTCTTGGCTAAATGAAATGAGAAGAGGACTGATGTGCAGGGATGAGCATAACAGTGTTAAATCCAAATTGAGCTTGGATTATAAACAGTATTAAATTTAAAAACCTTCATAGAGTCACTGGTAGGCATTTATCACCAAATATTCCATTTTGGGCAATAAAATCACGCAAAGAATAGCAGTGTGAAATTGGTACCCAGCACTGCCTGTGCCACATTGCATGGGCCCAGCCCAGCTCAGTGAGAAGCCATGCACCTTCAGGCCATTTGGGCTATCCCCTGGAGTCCCACACCACTCACAAGGACCATGTGTTGTGCTGAGCTAGGTCCTGCCACCACAAAACCAGCTCAGCCTGATGGCACTTGGGGCCCATGCACATAGCGCACAGCCAGGTTCAATGCGTAGTCCCTACAAGTGGCACGGGGCCCCAAGTGACATGAGCAGCATGGAGCTGCCCAAAGGAGCATGGCCCTGTGCCAAGCCAGACTGGGTCCACACGATGTGGCACAGATGGCACCAGGTGCCAGGTGGTTGGGGCTGAGCCACGCTGCCCTGTGGCATGGAGGGCTGTGCCAGGAGGGTCCCGAGCAACCCAAATGGCTGCTGCTGCTGTGGGGAGGGAGCAGTCCATGTGCTGTGTGGGGGGACATGTACCCTGTGGGGAGGCAATAGACCCACCCCTCCTGAACAGCCCCCCCACACCCAGTCCCCCTGCAATCCACCTACAACACCCACATCCCCAAGCCACCCTCAAAAACTCCTCACCCACATACCCAACCACAAACCTCCAGACAAGCCCCATACCTCCCCAAACCTCACCACACAAACCCTACTCACCCACAAACTCCCCCAACCCCCCCAACTGCTTTACACTTGTAAATATATCAATAAAACATTGCCCAACTGATCTCTCTGTATATAGCGGTGTTTCATTTTAATAGTGGAAGAACACTATTTTGGGTATTTTAAAGGAAAATTTGGGTTTTGTATCATACAATTTGCAAATTTTAAACAGGGAACACCAGGATCTCTGCTGATCCGACAAGTGACGAGACCTGAGCAGAGGAGCCTGTCCACAGCCAGCATTGGGGACCCAGCTGCAGGGCAGATGAGACGGCTGACCTCTTGGCCATCTGGGGCCAGGAGGACATGCTTTGACAGTTCAAAGCGGGCCACCACAAGGATCATGTATTCTAGGTGATAGCTGCCCAGATGGCAGAGTGGAGGCACCCCATCCAGGTCTGGCAGGGGCACAGCCATGGCGCCACAGGTCCAAGGATACAGATGCTGTTGCGGGTGGCAGCAGGTCACAGCCAGGCAGCAGCCTCCACTGCCATACTGCTGCAGTGTGTAGAGGGTGCAGGGGTCACTTCAGGTTAGGGCTGCTTCAGCAGTCCAGCTGGCACAAGGGGTAGAGTCCCCAGTTACCAAGTGGCTGGGCCTCAGAAACTCCTGAGGGCAAGTAGCCCTGAGCTGCTCACCAGAGCAGGTTTTTATACTGCTGGGGCCAGCACAAGTACTGGCCCCAGCCTCTAGCTACCCCTGGCTGCAGATCTTCAAGGAGCTGACCAGGGGGGTGTTTTTTGCCTCAAGTGGCACAACTTGTCCCACACCAGACTGCATGTCCAGGCACATGTGCTGAGGCAAAAATCTCCAGCACAAATCTGTGCCACTCCTATCTGAGCTGCTGTGAGCACACATGCCTGCATGTGTGGAAGCGACCCATGATCTTATCTTCAGTGCTAATTCCAGGATTCTTTTAGTTGACTCCTTTTCTTCACATCATCCATCTTTGCAAGTCTTAGCACTAGCACGTTTTGTAGTAAATACTTACTAGTTAGTACAGGGGTTTTAAACCTTTTTAAATACATGTACCCCCAGAGGCCAAACATGGAGCGGGGGGGGCAGGTGGGTGTTGGTGCTAGGCCAGACACAGAGCAGGGGTGGTAGGTGGTGGTGGTGGCCACAGCCACCTGCTCCCCCCCAAGCATCCAGCTGGCCAAGCAGCACCTGTGCGGCCCACAGAGGGGCACTACTGCCCTTGCCCCACCTCAGCCCTGCTCTTGGCAGGCCTAGGTAGCACAGGGTGGTGACTGGCAGCACTCCATCCCTGCCCACCCGCCTGTACCCCCTAGGGTTTTCCCAAGTACCCCCAGTTGTCAACCCCTGAGCTAGTATTTTAGAAATAATTTACACACTGCATGAACTGTTCATTATCTGCTTTGTTTTCTCCCTAAATATGGAGGTTTCTTCAAACTTTTCCTATGCTTATAAAGCCAGCACGTTTAATCAAGATTGCATAACACTATTTAAAAAATAAACAAGTAAATTAAGGGAATGTCCATGCTTTGACACTCCTAGGATACTGCTCATATCCACACCTGCTCTAGAAACAATGTCAGGAAGCACAATGGGGACAGCCACTACACCACTTGCAAGCATGGGGGCTAACAGATCTCAAGGGTGGCAGCAGGTAAGTGTGCCTGAAACAGTTTCAGCACCATATACAGAGCAGTCAGTAGGCAGTGCATGCTCATAAGCAAGCCTCCAGGAATGCCAAAGAAGCAGTACAGACATACCCTTTGGGTCTTACTAATAAGCTACCTTCCATTTTATTCTTTAAGAAAGAAAGAAAAAAAAAGTTTCAGCTACGTGCATTTCCATTTGTGGACAGAACATGCAACAGATGATGTTTATTGTGCTTCTCCACATTTAACACTAGGTTACTTTTAATACATTACAATTAAATCCTTATTGTGAGGTCTATGAGGTATTAGGCTTTCCCCTCTGAGGAATCTAGTATTCTTTGACTTCACCTTGCCAGGGTGAAGAATGTGTGGCAATGGAACAAGATATCAGATACAAGAATTTTAACATTTAAACACTTCAACCTAGGGGAAAAAAAAAACCCACAGAAAACTGACTGAAGTGAGAGTGTGGACCATAAACAACTACCTTTGTGAGGAAAGAGACGTACCTAATGCAAAATCAAAGGGAGCATCTTTCATTTAGTCTAAGTAATGTTCATGACAGATCCTCCCCCTCCGCCCACCATTGTACTGTGCCATGTTTCCACATCAGGAACTGAACAAAGAACACAGAAATTTATGTTCCAGTTTCTGACCTATGACCCAAAGCAAGGGTGATGTTCTGGCTAAACATTTATTTGCTGAAGTCCAGTAAGAAGGGGGATGGACAGGGCAGCCTTTCCACATAAAATATGCATGTTCCAGAATGTCTTCCACCGTGCTGTAGTAAAGAAAGATCAAAGCTTAAATAACTAAATACTCGTAAGTCTTGACCTTAATTCTTGGCAAATGATTTCGTAAAGAATACATACTGGTTTATGATTGTATACTGTATAGATGTAAATATGTTTACACATATAATAGCCCTACTCCCCCAAACATTTGGAAGAATCCCCAACAACAGGTAGATATGCCAGGGTACTTACTCTCTGGTTGGAAGAGGAAATTATGCACCCATACCAATATTAGAGTAGAAGCAAATGTTAATCCAATCAACTTCCAGGGCTCAATTCCTTCACACTGTCCATTCACAAAGCTCCTAGCCTTTTCTAAGTACATCAAGATGACATCTTTATAGGGAAAGGTGTCCTGGAAAAAAAAACAAACACAAAGAGCAGACATTACAGGAAGCAGAACAAGCCTGGTCATCTTCAGATAAAGTAGTAAGGCAGTGCCAGTGTTAATTATGGATTACCAACTTAATAAATGTTTACTGTGTAGCACTGCAGTGCATAAACTGCTTAGTTGCATAGAAACTCCACCCCAGTGCTTACTTTACACTACTCCCTTAAGCCACCTAGGTGGTACATAATTGACTAGGAGCCTGCAGTGTCAACAGACTTGCATTTGCTAGGTTCTGTCAACTTCAAGGCTTCTATGAGAGACACAAAGCACTGGAGGAGAAAAAAAGTTAATTGGTGGCTGAAGAAATGTTCATGTGCGAGTATGTAGGAAAAGAGGTATTCTGTTGCATGGTTTGATCTATTTACTTAGCTACCAAAAGTCGTAACAACATAGATTTGCTTGGCAAAAAACAGAGATACACCAAGTAAAGGACAGAGATGCACCAAGAATTAATAAATTAGATGGCAGCTTAAATCACTACAACTATAGCTGAAAGCATTTCCACATCATGGTATCCAAGTTAGCATAACATTGCTGCTTCATTTGGACAGCAGCTGAAGGTCTCCTTTAATACCAACACACTCTTTAAAGTTCACTTAGCTTCTACTGCTTTTTTGAAAATTTAAGCAACTTCTTTCCTTTGGGGATTTTAACATCACAGAGATGAACACTGATGCTTTTAGTTTATTAGCTGGTGCAAAGGAAAAACAGCATGGCAGGAACTCCATTTGGAGGAAGGAGAATGATTTGTTAATGTACTGGTTTCTTTATGACCATTTAAGAGCTTTGGCAGGAAAGTGCTGGAGTACCACCAAATATTAAGTGATATTTCAGAACACAGAATCCTTGCTATGAAGGTACAATAACTTGTACTGTGTTATTGTAATCAACTAAATAGAATAGATAATAAATCTAAATAGAATGAGTGCCAACACTGCTTGGTTGGCTGACACCAAGCCCCAGATTTGGAAAAAATCAACAGCTTTCCTCTCCATAAGAAGCAAGTTTTAAAAGAATGACACTGGACACATCTACACAAGATGATAAAATGTGCAATAGACTAATTCTACTGATTATTAGTGTGTCACGGTGAAAACTCTGCTATTGCGCTAATGCACAGTAGAATTAGTCTATTGTATATTAGAGACACTTTAAAGGCATGCACTGGCACTACTGCACAGTACCTGTTTAGTTATTACAGGGACTAAACTTAAATGTGCAGTAACCACAGCATATTAATGCATGTGTAGATGCGTCTGCCGTTGAACCATTTGGGAATAGGACTTTATTTTAAATAGCTAAAGAACCAGGAAGAAAAAAAATGCTATATACATCTTAGTCTACCACGCCCTCGCTCGGTTTTAGAAGAGCCATGTAAATCCATGCACTGCTCTGCAGTTCAGACTTGTTCTTTGACTTCCAAACTACTTCAACTCATTATTAACAAACTGCAGGACAGGTTGTGATATTCTGTTGCAAAGACTCCAGTACCTTGTTCCACCACAGAACATCCTGAGCTACACTTCCAATAAATTCTACTTTTATAGACTACTATTTAATAGGTTATTTTATAGACTGCTGTTGTAAATGCTACCCCCATTACAGACTCCTTTTAGATTACTCAGACATAATTCTGATGCTGCTAGAAGGAAGGATGGCCCAGTGGTAAAGCTGTTAGCCTTGAACTTGGGAGATATTGCCCTGCTACTGGCATCCTGAGGGACACCGAATCTCTCAGACCCATGAAGAAAACATGTTCGCCACAGGTTCCATCTGCAATTCCTCTAATATTAATGCCACCAACATTACAGTGGTATGATAGACAAGCAAAGAAAACAACAGCATGAAGAAAACAAGATAGGTAGAAATTCACATGTGAAGATGAACATGGAATTAGATTATTTTTTCAAGCATTATAGATTAATTCTAATCTTGTAGGATACAAATCTTAATCATTTTAAAAGTCTATAGGGCTGGTCAATAAGCTGGGCTCCCTATCTATAAATCATCAGCAATTTCAAAGGCCTCACAAATGTTATACAGTTCAAAAACATCTAAAATATTATTCAAGAACAATAAAAAAAATGAGAACTACTAAATATTTTCCAATGTTATTGTTCTTAAGTATCTATAGTGATGCTGTGTCTTCATACATTTGATCCACCCAGACCTTCCCCCTTCCTTCCCCCCCACCCCCACGTTACCGAATACAAGGTCTGACATAATTCAAATTTTCTTTTCAGTAGGGCTATATATCTAAGATAAAAAGACAGGTTTTTCCACAGTCCTAGGCATTAATTTTATGAGTATTCATGCTGACTTTTACATAAGGGAAAAAGTCCTAGTTTTACTAACACTCAAAGTTCACTGTACAATTATATCAACTATTTACTACTTTTTTTCCTCCGTGTGCTAGCAGAGACCCACTGGTTAAATCCTGTACGCCAGAAACCTCCAAATACAAGAGATAACAATGTTCTGCCTTGTAAACTTGTTCACAGAGACAGCTTTCATGTTACTACTGCTTCTCCCACCAGTAACATTCCCAGCGCAACTATGGATCACATGTGAACAGAAGAAAAATACTCTGAGCTTTGTAAAATTAAAAATGCAACCCAAGATCTCCTCCACTGCCACTTATTTCACAGGCTGAGCTGAGATCAGTTGTCTCATCAACGCTAAGATCAATCAATTCTAGGACCTTGTGAAAGACTGAAATCTGTCCTGCTGAAGAAGCCCCACGAGGGGGTTTTTGTTGCTGTTGTTGTTTTCTTGTTTTTGCTGGGAAATGTAATACTGTTCCTATGACCTATGGTCATTTTACTTTAAGAACTCTGTTAGTCACTCATAACAACTCCTTAGCAGACTAGTAAATTCACCAAGTTTTACAAGACCATTTAACAAGTAAAAAGAAGAAAATCCTCCCTGAGACGATTTTTCATTTCCAAACTCCTGTGTTAGGAATAACCCAAATATTTGGCAAAAATTTCGTGTATACCATTGTCATTTACAATATTCATTTTTAATAATATAGATATGCCAAGACGCTTGTGCAATTGCAGTATTTTAGCAACTGGAATTAAGAGCACATCCTGATGTTCCTGCTTTAGAAATCCATTAGAAGCTATCCCATTTCAAAAGCAGCTATATTAGCCACTATCAATTTTTCATCATAAAAGAAAGCCCAGACAGCACAGTAAAAGCAGGAGTGGGGGGTGGATAAGAATCAAACTTCCTTTTAAGCCAAACCTAATGACACTCAGCGTTGTAGTTTTGTGAGAAATTTTCCTAGCAAAAAAGTTTAGAATTTAAATACGTCCCTGAGCCTCAGGTTTAAAAAAACAGAAAGATGAAAACCAGAGGACTTTACACTGCTGCTAATGCCCTAACTAGTCTCGGAGCCCAACTAGAATATTAGTTTTGTGGCTGTCAGAAAGGCAGCATTCATCTGCATCATGTTTGTTACAGCAACAGCTCAAAATAGACTCTGAGAGAAGTTTGTTTTCCTATTGGAATACCCTACATTATTCACAAAAGTAGCTTTTCAAAGTGGCATAGATTATTTTTAGGAAACAACAGAAACCCTATAGACACTGTCATTAAAAATGAGTCCTAATAAAGCCATCCTTTATATATAGGTATCCAAATGTCAAAATATGTTACAGGGCACTGCTACAGTTAGAAAAACCGTTTCAGCAACAGACCAGCACATTTTCCATGTTAAAACAGTCAAGTGGTCTGAGCTTTGGCCCTCTGTAATTCTTAAAAGTCGCTTCAAGGTACTCAGCACTATTCCTTCAAAACATGGAAAAGCTGTCGTACATTTAATATTTCCAAAGTGCAACACCTAAGAGCAAACAAATACGAGTCAAGTAAGGGCATTAAGCTACCTTATACATGTGTTATATCTAGGACTTTGTGTAAATTTCAATTACATAAATATGCTCTTCAGTATTGCCTTCTAGTGCCACTAGCTACTCATAGTTAAAGTATTAAAACAGCACTATAGTATTATTATATTATACACTATTACATTATTAAAATATTAAGATTTAATTATTTTATTACACTGAACGACTACTGTCTTTACAACAAGCCTGTTTCTGTTCTATGATATAACCTACATGAGCACCTAGCACCAAAATGCTACTAAACGGTGAACTTCAGAACTCCAGCTTAAATGACCTGAAGTATTGCCTAGCATTTAGCTAGTACCGTGCCAACATGGTCACAAATCAAAAGCTACCTGCTGCTGCCAATGTCTGTCAGTAGCAGATTAAGCTGGCTTAAAGCTCACTGTAAAATAACTGTTTCATAAATTGAGGCTAAATAACACTCACATATTTTCCAAAGTTCAGCTCTGTATCTGGTCAGACAACCCCTATATTTAAATACTAAGACTCAAACATGGTAAATTTTCCTTTCCTGCTTTCCTTGTTTTGACAAACCCTGATATTAAGGGGGAAAAAAAGTTTTATCAAGCAACTTATGACTGTGAGTGTTTAGGAACAACATATCAGTTTAGATAGTGACCCCAAACAGTCTGGTCACGTCTGATTATAGCTAAAATTAAGTCTGCTTCAATTAATGTCTATGTCATTAGGTTTGGCTATGTCTGACAGGGCCACAAAAGAGGAGTAATCTCTGGTCTAATATCCTCTGTCAGTAAAAGTCCTTGGTGTAGGCAAATTATGCCAGTAAAACTGTGCCTTAGTACAATTTGTTTCATTAGGACCAAACAGGGCTAGAATAAACTAGATCCATGTCAATCCTGTTTTGCCAGTAGACAAGAAAAACATTCCTAGAGTAGATCTAAGCTACTGGTAGGTTTCTGGACTCAGCCTCAGATAGCTACCACATGAAACCAGAATTCTCATTGCTCAAGCCTATCTGCTATTTCAAAGGGAGTTACTCATTAAACTTGTCGCCCTGTTTTGAATTATGCTCGTGTAATAAAGGGCGAAATAACATCCCTTCCCGCCACCCTCAGCCCTTACTTGATTTCATAATG